AGTAGTTTAACACGTAAATTTACACAAACAAGCTACTCTAAGGTGTAACAAAATATTTTTTAAGCAAAACCATTACTTGACGCCAAAGAGATTTAATATATATATTTATATATATATATATATATATATATATATATATATATATATATACACATATATATACTATAGACCGGACATTGGGAAAATTTCCATACAAAAGCTGTGACCACGCGCATGTATTACGCCCTCAAGCGAAATATAGCAATACTACACTGAATATTTATTTAGAAAACATTTTAGCTATTTCCCAGTAGGTGACGCTACTAAACATAAGGTTCAAATCCATTGAAGGCATTTCGTTAATCACTAACATATTTGTAAATAAACGTAAGACATTACTGAATAACAGAGGGCACTTATTACAATAATTTTTCTTTCTTCTAGAACAATCTATTAGAAATAATAAAATTTAAAAATTATTTGGTAAATACACATTATTCTTACGATAAAACCGAAATCACGTTCATTTTTGCTCCATATCGTGGCTTGCAATACTTTAATGCACAACCGGGCATATTTTCTTTAAAAAATTTTTTTTATTTATAAAACGAATGCGTGTTGACCTTTTGACGATGTCACTTAGACTAAATGACAAAAATCGGAGATATATCCTATAGGACAAAAGTTACAGACGACAATTTTGGTACTGATGTCCGGTCTATTACTACTACCTATTTAAATGTCTTTGCTTGACGCTAAGATTTTCTACTTTATTACACCAGCACAAACGTCAAATTAAACAATAATTCGTAGGCCATGCACTTGTTTCGTGTAGGATATAAACGCAGCGCCGGACCTAATCACTTCGTCTTCTAGAATAAGGTTGATAAACGGACAGATATTCTACCTGATGGTAAGTGGCCAATAGACGTCTTAATCTTTCCTCAATTAAGAATCAAAATTCAAATGCGTTGTTACCCTGTTTAAAATGTAATGCCTCGTTTCCAGTGAACAGGGTATTCGGTTCTCTACACTCAACATGTCAAACACAGCACTATAGAGCTGTTATTTTACACCGGTATTCTGTTAGAGCATAGCCTATCCCTGGTCGAGGTGACCCATTCATGCTACATACAAAATACAGCTACAGCGTAGCTCTAGCACTTATAATGGCTTCGTCAATGTTCTAGCGAGTTTCCTTAAAACAATAAAATGAAACATAAACATTAACAACTAAAACGCACAATATTTAATGCACTACACCTTGTTAACTAAAAGCGGAGTACTTATGAAATTCCGCAGCGAACGAGGTTTAAGCACACTAGGTAATATACTAGAACAATGCTCGACGCTTGTAGGTACATGGTCCGACGAAGGTGAATAGTCTAAAAGTTATTTAGTTAAGTTGTTGGAATAACCAAAGTGTATGCAACAACATTGTCGAATTATTTATTTTTGTATAGTCGCAGAGGCTCTTAATAGCTCAGTATCTGGACATACGTCTTTTAAGTGTATATTTGTTCATATAAAAGGAAGGAAAACGAGCTTGCGGCCTACCTGATAGTATAGGTGTCGATCGCCGTAGAAAACTTCTAGACCAGGGGATAGCAGGTGTGTTGGCGGCCTTTTAAGAAGGATTACAGTTTATGTATCAGTCTAACTATACTGTAAAGCATACAATAAAGAGTACCTATAAAAAATCGCGGTATTATGTAAGCATTTTACTTCCTAGTCTTGTAATAAAATAATTAAATAACATATTATTATATTTTAAATAAATGTTTAAAGGGTCCTACGGGGTTTATTGCTGGTTCTTTCCAGAACAGAAGTTTTTAACAACAAAGTGCTAAAAGCATAAGTGACTTTCAATATTCTTATATTCTATATTGAGAACTAAAGCTTATTCTATTGTATTCTAATAAAATGAACTCAAATTTAGCATTTTACTTGAATAAAATGCAAAAAGTTACAGCCTATTTACTTCTGGGCACTGGCGTCCTATGATTTCTGAGATGTTTTAGGCCAAGAAAGTGTCCACAACTGTGTCCTAATGCTTGGCGGACTTCACATGCCTTCTAAATATTTTAAAATTTCTCGGACATGCAGATTTCTTCACAATGTTTTCCTTCACCACCGAGTGTGTGGTAAATCAACACTTAAAATTTACAGCGAGTGCTTTGCTGCCTAAATATAAAAAGTTTAATGATACTTAATTTGGTGCACGTGTTTATTGTAGCACATAAAAATAGCTCATTTTAAGATATGGTATTTCCCAACACATTTTAAGCCGTAAGAATTAAATTTAAAATCCTATAATAGAAACAACTTAAAAATTCACTTGTAAAAATCATAACTTCCAACGACTTGTTTCTATCTTCAATTAGTTAATTTTAAAGCTGAACGTAGGACACAAATAAAATTTGAAAGAAAAAGAAAATTAAACACCTCACACGCTACTTATAAATAAAATATAAACGTAATTTTTTTAAGCGCTATGTTTAACCTAAATATTTACTTAAATTGAGTTTTAATACCTTTTAAAGATTGTTTTGATCATGTTCAGAAGCGATTTAAATTCTAATTTATTGAATAAAATATATTTAACGGACTTTACGGCGTTTAATTTTAATTCCTAGCGTTTCGGGTGCTTGACAGCACCCATGGTCACGGTCAGGTAGGACCTTTACACACGAGGATTTTATAGAATCGTGTTTAACTAATAGTACTTAACATTAATCCTCAACTTTACAATTTATTTAATTCAAAATTAATGCTGCAGTATTTAAGGCGTAACGGATGATCATGCTAAGCTATTTGAGGTAGTATAGGCTCTACACCGATCGGAAATCCCATCTGCAATGAGAGGCACATGTCTAGCAGCGAAATTTTAAAGGGCCTATGAAGAAGAAGAGTTTGGGCGGATTCGGACCGAATACCATTTGAAATCAAACTCTCGCCGGACAAATAATCGTAAAGGAATGAAGCCTCGACTGTCAATATATATGTAACTCCCGCTATGGGGGGTTTATTGGTGTATTATGATTGACGTGTGCGACAGCTTACAAAGCGCTGAAGTCGGTGAACGCTAGAACGTAGAACGTCATCACGCATTCCATCTTAGTTCTCAGGGCTGACAACGTATTTTGATCCTTAATTGAGGATAAATGAGGATGTATATTGGCCACAGCATCCACTTACCATCAGTTGGCTGTGTTCTCGATTGTCATACAATGCTATAAAAAATGTATTTTATTCCGTATTTATAAAAAAACACACTTTGTATTTAATACTTTCTATACGTTATGAGTTTTTTTTTAAATCTTTGATAATGTAATTAAAAACACCAAGCGCATTGGGGATTATCACAAACTGAGCACCAGAGGACAGAGGTTCGTATAACAACAGAAATCGCATATGTTCGGTGGGTTTTTACGGGATATGTAGAAAAATAAGATTTGATATACGAGAAATCTCTTCTTTCTGTCTAAAACAAAAACCTTAGCCTCAAAATAGAAATGTTTTCTGTTTATGATAGCGTTTTACGTTAATTAATTGCGCAGACACGGCAATATTTTTTTTAATTTAAAAAAATATTTTGTGTGCTATTTGCCTGTCTCATATTTTAAACTTAAAGAAGATTTTAAGATTCTAAACAAAATAAAGACAAGAAGAACCGTTTGAACGCGACTGTGGTGGCGTATATGCAAAAATAAAGGCAGCTCCAAAGCGACTGTAGTAAGGATGGAGAGAACACTCCAGAAACATTTTCCTCTTTAAATAAAAAATACAACTTCGTTTGTACGTAAGCTTGGCCTCAAGGGATTCTGAATACAGTAGTAGTATTGAGTCTAGCAAAATCTAGCGTGCGAGCGACAATTATGAGGCTTTTTTAATTAATAATGACTTCCAGTGTTCATGGTATATTTAAAATTGGAATTATAGGGCTGCTATTAAAAATATGTGTTTTAATGAAGTAAGATTAGGTTATAAACGAATACAAGGCCTACCCGATGTGATATCTGTGGTCGCTAACGGTGACCTCCATCTATCCTCGATTAAGAATAAAGGCGTTGATACGTTGTCACCCTGAGGTCTTATAAGTAGGCCTCCTTACAAGTAAAAAGAGTATGGGTTATGCGTCGTACGCTATTTGAAATACCACCAGGGTAAAATAACAGCATGCTGCTATTTCACCCTATGTTTTCCTATGTCTGAACTTTAAAAAAAATGGTTGACACTGCAGGCTATCTTGAAACTTCCCGCTAATTTCAATATTAAAACTCTCCAAATTCTATTTGCTATGACGTATTATATTTTTAAAAAATTACGTTTTTTAATTTTTTTTTCAAAATTGAATATTTCACGAACAAATCAACAGATTTTGATGTGATTTAAATTTTTACAGCTTAACAGAGAGGTTATTACAAAAAAATTATTTCACGGAATGTATTCAAGTTATTTAAAAAAAAAACACTTTTTCGAGATTTCTTTCGACAACGATATCTTCGAACGAATCAACCGATTTTAATGCGGTTGACGGGAATCATCTCAGCACCATTACTCCCAAAACGTAGGGAAAGTAGACTCTGCGGTGACTTCACCTGAGGAACCTCGTGCGGATGCGAAACACGTGTCGTATTATCGACGGTGGTATCTTTCATAGCGTAGTGGTGTTGGGGGTAATGGTGCTGGGATTAGTGGTGACGGAGATAGTGCACGCTATTGGGGGAGGGCGGGAGGTGCTCTTCAAACTAGGTTAGTATATAGTTATATTTCATTTTATTTCATTGCGCGGATATGGACAAAGTAATTTGTACCAACTTTATTATAATGGATTTAAAAATTAAAAGGTTATCAATTATTTGATCAGAAACTTTAAAACATCGTAAAGAAATTGATAGAGATCAAGTTAGAGGAACGTTATCGCAAGAGAGTCTTTAATTAAATTTCGCGTGAAGTTGAAGTACTTTATAGAATTTTATTTTAATCAATCAAACAAAAATTTAGAAAGTTTTGATACATTAATCATTTTTTTCTTGAACACGATGTAAACGCCCTGGAGTTAAAGCGAAATTATATTGCATTTGCATTCTTTTAAACATAAGGATTATTAAATTATTTTTTATAACAACTAAAATTACTCCTTTCAGTATACTCTTATAAAAAAATTTAAAATTATATTTGGAATAAATGCAATAAAGCGATAGGGTTTTCTCAAGGTTTATATTAGTTATATACGAGGGAGAGGGGCGGGGGAGTAAAATTTATAAACACTTTATTAAAAAGAATTATAAAGGTAATAACGGAGAACTTTAAATTACAATTATTAATTTCAGTGTAATAGGCGGTAATCAAAATAATCCTTATCTGCCTAGAAAACTAGGTAGGTAGGTTTCCACCCCCTCTTACCTTTTTCTGCTGCAAAATAGAAGTGCTTGCTTCCTGTGTGAAGGGAATAGAGAGCAAGTATTATTATAGGCTGTGAGGTATTCCATCTTAGTCTTAAAGTTTACTTTGATATTGGCTGCAGGCGTCCGGTTTGACTGTACATTCGATTGTCACTGCAGTTTATAGAAAATAAAAATATAGGTGACAGCCCTACAGCCGAAGTTCCGTTTGTTCGGATACTCGAATGCTTGACACAAGTCAAAACTTTTTAAGTAATTAAACACATAGCTTCTAGAAGGTATTGTCGGAGGAAGGACGTAAATCAGGATGTTTTACGAGATTCGTCAAACTTCGAATTGTTATTGTAAAGACGAATAACTTTAAGTTGCAAGTGCGTTATTATTAAAGACATAACCTTAAATTAAATCGTTCTAAGCCTTAATTAGATTATCCAAGCGTGAAGTTTTATTCTAATTGGATTGTAAACGATGCGCTTATTAAGTATGTGTGAATAATTTTGTACAACTTTGAGGTGATAATAACTTTAGACCGAGGTTAAAAAATAAAGGAATAAAAAACCAATATCGTATTATTTTATAAAAGTATAATTGTATTACGATTCGTAAATTGCAACTGTGGTCAGGTTTAATAACAAAATAAATAGAGCATTGTTTTGTGGTTCGCTATAATTAAATATAAATTTTCGTTCGAAAGAATACAAAACTGATTTGCTGATTCAATTTACAACTCATTTTTTATATAAAATTTGCCCCTGACGTTGAAAAATTGTATCATATCGTGTAATCGTTTTACAAAAATAAACTACATATTATGGACTCTATACACTATTATAATAAAAAGTAAAGTTTAAATAAAAGTAGTTTTTACGAATTTTATCGCGTATATATTCCTGACGTTTCGAGTACTTTACAGCATTCATGTTCACGGGGTCGACTGGGGTGCCCGAATTCTTTATGTCATAGTTAACCACGGCTACCTCCAGATTAAAATTATTAATTTTTGTTCCGATACACACAATACGAACTTATAGTATCTTAAAGTCTTGCAGTTGCATGCTTGGGTTGGGATTTAATTTCATTAATTATAGAATTCCAAGCAAATGGTAGCACCGAGCCATTTTCTCTATTGAAATTAGGATGTTTTTCGATTTCAATAGCCTCGCGAATCATCTTTGGAAGGAATCGGTGTTCTTTAGCGAGGATTAGTGGTCTATTAAATCTGATGTAGTGACGGAAAAGATTCTATCTATACGTGTTCACAGACTGCAGACTTCTCGGAGCGTTGATTTTTCACATCAGCGATATGTTCACGTAAATTTAGAAATAATTATAAAAAGTTTGTAAAATTCTGAAACCAAAAAAAAACCTAATTAGATTCTGAAAATTATTTCACGGGCCGAAAGTTTTGTGGCTCATATACGTATATTTACATTTATCCTCGAATAAAATTAAAATGCAGATGCGTTGTCAACCTTTTCTTTGCGCACGGGAGCGCTTCGGGCCGATAGTTTCTGTAGCAAGTGGCACAAATATGAAGTCTTCGCAGAAAGACTCATACTTGCCCCACTTACTCAGTTAAACCATCTCCAGGGATGAAAGGTTGCCAGAGTAGTGCTCAATCAGACATATCATCAAAAACAAAATTTGTGATTTGTATTAACGTCCGTGGTATGTTTCCTAGTTAGAGTGGTGTTGGGTTTAGTGGTTAAAGTGAAAAAGTAAAATTGTGGGTGATGCTCTTCAAACTAGGGTATTGCTAAAATCAGCGTGAAAAATAAAATAGCGTCTGAACCGAGATAGACCGCGACCCGAGACTCGTATATTGTTAAAATAATAGCGGTCAACATTGCGGGTGGTGCTCTCAGATTAGGGTATAGCCAAAATCGCAGTGAAAAATTAAATGGCGTTATTTTATTTTTTAAGCTGATCTTTGCTAATTAACTTTAACCTTTTTAATATAATAAATCCATTACAGCCTATTGAAGCCTAAGCATAAGCCTCCCCCACAGGTTGCTCGTAGGGGGATATTTGCCACAGTTGCCACGCTTAGCAAGCGGGTTGTCAACCGCAGTTTTTTTATTTTAATCGTAATTATGAAGACGCTGATACCCATCCCCAGATTTGTTTCGCTCTGTCGCCTTTTTCGACATCCAGAGGATTTTCTCAAACGGTCGCTACACAGTATTTAACTATTTAATAAGCGCAGCAAAAGCATGAATAACCATTTAAAAACTTACGACGGCTTAAAGTTTTTACAGTCAACGTCTTATATGTCAACCGAATAACTTTTAATAAAAACTGTTTTATATGCACTTCGTGTACAGTAAAACGGATCGTACGTTTTTTGATAGGAGGTTTTTGGTGGCGGTTACGTTCTACGCATTCTGCACATACCTGGTGATTCATATAAACTTGATGACTAAAATAACTATGCTTTATTCACAGTCATTGTATCAAAATAACGATTACAAGGCATACTCATTCCTGTCCATGAGTGCTGTTCTTTTTTTAAACGTTTGTATCGTCCCGTGTGCTCCGCCTCGTTGGTCCAATAGTTGTAAGGACAACTGTTAATCATGTAGTCACGGGTCCGTATCCCAGAATCCAGGTTAAAATCAGTTATTGAGTTCGTCTTTCCAGAAATTCTCAGTACCAACCCCAAGGCAGGAAGTGAAAAAGCACGTAAAGCCGTTAGTGCTAACACCTTCGGCTACATCGCGACTGGCTATGTAGAGGAATCGTTAAGCACTGGCTTATGTCAGTTGAAATAAGAATTCTTACCTCCATCCTCTGGTATATTGAGCAGCTTCTTGGCACCAGGGCTCGGGCCGCGCACCGCCGACAGCGCCCTCTGCAGTGTCTCGCTTATCTGCTTACCACTTACACACTGGCCCAACACGACCACTAGCACCAAACACCTCACAACACCGGGTGCACTGAACACTCTCCGCCAGCTCGAATCCTGTTTCCCCATCATCGCCGACTTCGACCACATGTTTGTCTTTGAGCAAGGCTTCGGTATTGCACTGTCAGCAATCAGCTACATCTTCGTAAGACATTGTACCGTTTGTGGCATCTGTAAAAATAACAATATTATGTTAATACTCATTTAAGAAAGGAAGTAAGTTTTTTTTTTATAGAATAACGGTGACAAACGAACAAACAGTCAACTCGATGCATCTATCCTTAAATTAGAATCAAAATGCAGATGCCTGGTCACCCAAGAACTAAGATGAAATGTCTCATTTCTAGCAAAAAGTCTCCGTAGTGTAGAGATACCCACCATAAGAAACACGTAAAATAGCATTGAGCTGCTATTTTACGAAGATATTATTTGAGAGCTTGGTCCGTTCCCGGTCGAGCCGAACCATTCGTACTACAACTATTATAGCTGCAGCGTGGCTCTACCACGTATCGTTAGTGTAAAGATACAGTTTATATACATCCCACAGCTGGGCACAGGCCTCCCCTCATTTCTGAGGTAATTATGGAGCTATAAGTCTCACGTGCTGCTACAGTGCGTGTTGGAAAACTTTACATATCTTTAAAATAATAATAAATAATGTGTTTATAGACATGTTGGTTTCCTTACGATATTTACGTGCACTGCAGGAAAGTAGTTTAATGAAAGAAAATGCATTAATTCGTCAGAAATAGACATACGTTTACTTTAAAAAAATACTACAAATGTAGCAATAAAACAAGTACTGAATAGATAGCATTACGATTCCTTCTCACCTATAATTACGTATGGGTCATCACCAAAAAAATACTATAAATATAGCAATAAAATAAGTACTGAATAGATAGCATTACGATTCCTTCTCACCTATAATTACGTATGGGTCATCACCAAAAAATACTATAAATATAGCAATAAAATAAGTACTGAATAGATAGCATTACGATTTCTTCTCACCTATAATTACGTATGGGTCATCACTAAAAAAATACTATAAATGTAGCTATAAAACAAGTACTGAATAGATAGCATTACGATTCCTTCTCACCTATAATTACGTATGGGTCATCACTAAAAGAAATACTATAAATATAGCAATAAAACAAGTACTGAATAGATAGCATTACGATTCCTTCTCACCTATAATTTCGTATGGGTCATCACTAAAAAAAATACTACAAATATAGCAAGAAAACAAGTACTGAATAGATAGCATTACGATTCCTTCTCACCTATAATTTCGTATGGGTCATCACTAAAAAAATACTACAAATATAGCAAGAAAACAAGTACTGAATAGATAGCATTACGATTCCTTCTCACCTATAATTACGTATGGGTCATCACTAAAAGGAATACTACAAATATAGCAAGAAAACAAGTACTGAATAGATAGCATTACGATTCCTTCTCACCTATAATTTCGTATGGGTCATCACTAAAAAAATACTATAAATGTAGCTATAAAACAAGTACTGAATAGATAGCATTACGATTCCTTCTCACCTATAATTTCGCATGGGTCATCACTATGTCACAAATTTTTGCCTCTGAGTAGCACAGTGCACCCACTTTTAGGTTTCAATTAGAAGGATATTGGGAGCCAGTATAATAACAGACTGTCGGGTTTACCAGGTTGTAGAAATCCTTTGTGGTATAGGATTCCGTCTGGATAGGTATATTTCTGTCGCAAAATATAGTGCCTGCAGTGCTGTGTTCTTTTCTAAAGCGTATACATAGCCAGTACAGGCTCTGAGGCCGCTTACTTCTTGCAACGAAACTGTAGCCTTCTTTGTTTGAAGTTAGCTGCATGGACAGTGTCCATGGACTGCAGTAACTATTTACCGTCAGGAGGACTGTATGTTTACGTGGTAGAGCCACGCTGCATATATATTAGAGTTGTAGCATGAATGGGTCAGCTCGACTGGGGAAGGACCACTCACAGAAAACAGTGTATCGTATGGTAAGTGTAGAGAACCGGAGACCCGCTTTACTGGGATCGAGGCATTCCATCTTAGTCCTCAGGGGTGACAACGCATCTGCATTTTGATTCTTAATTGAATGTAGATGTCTATGGGCCACAGTTTGCTCGATTGTCACCCTTATCCTATAAAAAAAAAGTTTGTTTGTAAGTTTATTATTATAAATAAAAAAGCGATCCGCCCCAGCTTCGCACAGGTGATTTCGGGATCCCGACAACAGCGCCACCTATCTGGTCCAACAAAGTTTTTAAACCATCCAGGGATCCACTCAAATACACACAAAAAACGAGCTGTTTTCGAGCTTTAGCGAGTCTAACGGAGAGAAATTGATTTTTATATATAAAGAAGAAGAAGAAGACAAGTGAACGCGAGTAAAAAAGAAATTTGTAAGGATCACAAACGTTAGCATTATTCGTTTAATCGAAAGAGCTTTTAGCATTTTATTATTCCAAACCACATACTGACAGATAAGCCGACAAAATCGCACTTATAAAAACGCAAAACTGTGTCGCTTTACAAGATTTTCGTGCACGGAATAGCAACGTACTGAATTGTAATGTGCTACGGTTTAATGCAATGTATTAGACGTTATAAGACAGTTTAAAAAATACCAGAATAAATAAACACATTTTAAACACAATTCTGTTTATCACACTGGCTACTATTTAGTTCTATTAAATATGCTTTTAAAAATAGTAAAATATTTTATAACAAGAAAGTAAGGTTCAATTTGTCATCTTTAACCAAAACCAAGAAATTATAAAAAATAAATATGCCGACCTCAAATAATGTAGTAGGTGAAAAGAGTGATTATACATAAAATACAAGGCAATAAAATATTCCTTACTAGAATTTTAAGGTATGTCTTACATCATTCAAGTACGTGATATTAATCTTAAACAAAACAAAAATGTGTCTTTGATTGTGATTGAAATGACTCATAGATGTTACTTAAAAATGCTTTTCTAGAAAACGTTGAATTACTTATTACTATATATTACGTAGAATTACTTCAAGAAATAATAAAAGAATGTTAAAATGAAAGCTCCAGAGCTTAATTTTTAACCTGTTTAAAATTTACGTAAAAAATCTAATGTACTATTAGAACTTTACGAAATAAGTTCTATAAAAATACAATACACATTACTTAAACACCTTTTAAATAATAATCGAACTTAGAAACTATACCTCGACATCCAAATATTTCACTTTGTATACCATTTAGTAATATCACCAGCTGTCGTTCATAACACAGCAACAAAATAAGGTAGTCAATCCGTACACTAGAGAACACAATCCATTAAAACACGCTTCATAACATTAATAACTATTTAAAATTATACGAGAAACATCATCCCGTCCCGCGAATCGAACCAAAACTAACCTAAAAGCACTAAATGCAACACGCTTCGTCATAGCTATAAAAATTTGACCGCCAGTGAGCGTACATTTCAAAGGGACTTGGACTCGGGAGCAATTCTACAAGCCCGATAAAGCTTTGAAATAGATAAACTAGTGATTCTAAACTTTATAACTACGGTGCATAAAGTCCTACTATAGTTTTAATAACGGTCGATAACACCGTTGCAAGCTACACAGAAACGGAACGCACTCTTTTGTGTTCGCTTTTCTACCTGCGTCGCTTCCTTTTTTCTGTGCGTATTATATGAGCTTACTATTCTTATGTGACAAATATCTTAGTCCCCGAACATAAGGTTCACAATTGAACGCTTTTGTTAAAAACGAAAGTAAAATTAAAATTGCTTGTTATTGCAATACTCGTTATTTCGCTATGCGTTCTAAGTGAAACAGGGAAGCGACTGGATTTGAGACAGTTGATTCATACATGAAATTTTAAAGTAAAGTGAAGTAACAGTGCCTATAAATGTCCTATTGTAGAGATAAAGCTGCTCTAGAGTAACCTACGCTGTCATCATCACCGCCATCATTTCATCACAAATCCTCACAAAATACCAAACCACAACAATGCAGAGTGTCAATGTTTGTGACACTGGTTGCTAACACCTGCATATTTCATCACATGGGCAGGTCATCTAAAAGATAGTAGCATCAATATTATATTTGTATATGGAGTATGTGGAGTATTAGGCCACATATTCCATATACAAATATAATATTGATGCTGCGATATTTAGCTGAATGACATAGCGTATTATAAAAAGGATAAAAGAAAAAAAGGACAGTTCAATTAATGTTATTATGAGAAACTTTCTATTTCGTCTTACACTAATGGTTATTACATTTAAATTTCGAATGTTCTAACATTTTTTTAAATACCAATAACGGTATTTTTTAAGAGTTCGGCTGCCAGTATTATGACCGGCTGCCGTATCTTTACGAGTTAATCCACGCGAGGTGCCCCGTTTAGTTTTTATATATCGGTCAATAGGGGCTCAATTAGCGTCTAATCACATTTTTTAGAAGATTAAGCTGTTACATAAAATATAGAATGAACTTCATTTGAATTATAAATTGTTATTTGACGTTGTTACTATGTTGAAAGGTGCATTTAACTTGATTTTTCCAGTAACTTGAAAACGGATGTAATAAGCACTAAATTATAAACAAATTAAGGGATTATAATTTTCTATGTATTACGTACACTATATAACTTATATTATTTATATTTTATGTGTCCTTTGTAGCCTATCTAGCAATTTTAAAACAAAGAGTGCCACAGGTATCTTCACTCTGAGGACTAAGATGAAATATCTAACTGTTTGTAATTATACAAGCTCGCCTTTCATCCAAACTACAAGACAGCAGTAGTTGTACAAAATAATAAGACGTTACTTTATCGTAATTCTTTTACTTTTCTAATACCTATATAGATACAAGCCAATGTTTTAGCCAATTTCGAAGAGTCCAGACCGAACCATTTCAAGCCAGAGAGTTGAGATCTGCACGGACGCCAAGCTTCATACAGTTTTTTAAACTCAACTATTTGATCCGAATAGCAGATAACTCTAAACGGCGTTTCTACCGAACTTGGCCTCCTTCTACACTTTATGTTTTTGTACTATATTTATG